GCCCCCGACACTGCCCGCCCAGCCCCTACCATTGCAGTCCGGCACAGCCCGCTCATGCCACTCCTTGCACAGCTTCCAGATCAAACACACCGTGGACTGAGGCGTGGGCACCTGCCTCTCCCAAACCGCCTTATTGCGTGCTTTCCAGATCGCCCAAACCCCCACGATGACTGGACGAAGTTCAAGCAATGAAAACCTGTCAAACATATGCATCATCCATGCATTGAAATTCAGCCCTACAGGACTGCTATAAGAAATTCCAAGCTGATTCCAAACCATTTTCGAGAACGGGCAAACAACAAAAATATGATCAATATTTTCACCCGGAGTCCCACACAAGGGGCAAAGGTTGTCCAGGGCCATACCTTTAGAATTAAGAGAAGAGATGGTCGGAAGAATGTCCCGAAGAGCTCGCCACACACAGACCTTGAGCTTCGGAGCCACTAAAACCCGCCAAAGTTGACGCCACTTTGAAAAACCCGGACAGACCGTAAACTCCCCGACCGAACGCCGATAACCTTCTTTCACCGAATAAGCTCCCCAGGACGGCCCTTCCCAGTACCAGTTATCATCACTGATGGTGCCCAAAGGTAGTGCAAGAATGCGTTGCACATCAACAGGCAAGAACCATTCCCGCACCACTTCCTCCTTCCAATGACGCGAACCAGACTCAATCAGAAATTTTATTGGGAGATTGGGCATAAACGGTGGTCTCTCCGTAAGGATACAAGGTTGTTGAGAATCATTAAGCCAAGGACTACCCCATATCAAAGTGTCCCGACCATTACCCACCCTACGACGGATACCCTCCAAAAGCAGTGATTGTGATTCCAAAATACTTCGCCAGCAAGAACTAGGATTAGCCCCCAAATGAGCCTCCAAAAATGAAGACGTAGGAAAGTACATTGCTTTAAAAACCCGAGAGACAAGTGCCTCAGGTCGGGTGAGAAACCTCCACCCCTGTTTTCCCAGCATCACCACATTAAAAGCTCTCACCTGTTTAAAGCCCAAACCACCAAAATTCTTTGGTACTGCCATCCTTGTCCAAGACATCCAATGGATCCCTTTAGAATTCTGCCCTTTCCCACCCCACCAAAAGGAGTTCATAAGCTTTTCAATACTCTGACAAAATTGAGATGGTAACAAAAAAACACTCATAGCAAACTGAGGCATAGCTTGCGCAACTGTCTTCAGCAGAATATCCTTTCCGGCTTTCGAGAGAAGATTCTTTGACCACCCACTCATCCGCACACGAATTTTATCATGGATATATGAGAACACATTAGCTTTATTTCTTCCCAGGAAAGGGGGGAGACCAAGATATTTACCAAAATCGGAAGCTTGCTCCACATCAAAAAATTGAGATAAAAAGTCTCTTGTCGGAGTGGGGGTGTTGCGACTGAAACAAATGCTGGATTTTCTAAAGTTTACAACCTGCCCGGACAACCTCTCATACTCCGATAAGCATCTGTTGACCACCACAGCCTCTTCGAGTGTTGCCTTAAAAAACAAAAGACTATCATCCGCAAAAAGAAGGTGCGAGACAGAGGGAGCTCCTCTAGCAACCCGAATCCCGTGGAGCACACCTTCACTGACCTTGTTCTGCAGCATTAAGGATAAGCCCTCCGCACAAAGAATAAACAGATAAGGGCTCAATGGGTCGCCCTGTCGCAGTCCCCTCGTAGGAAGGATCGGTTCTGAAAGATCACCATTAATAAGCACGTGATATCGAACGGTGGAGACGTATAACATAACTAGGTTGATCCATTCCTCATCAAAGCCAAGTTTTCCCATCATAGTTCGCAGAAATGGCCACTCCATACAATCATAAGCTTTAGCCATATCCAACTTCAAGCCCACCCAACCCGTCAAGCCTGTCCTCTTCCTACGCAGAAAATGCCCCATCTTGGCCGCCAACAAAATATTATCTGAGATGAGACGGCCCGGAAGGAAAGCGGACTGACTTTCAGAAATGATTTGCTGGAGTATAGGTTTCAACCGGTTTGCCAACATTTTTGCCACAACCTTATACGTGATATTGCATAACGCAATGGGACGGAGATCGCCCACAACCTGTGGCGCCTGTTTCTTTGGAATAAGGACCAGCGTGGCATCATTCATTCCCGTAGGGAACGAAACTTGACGAATACACTCTAGAACAGCCCTTGTCAGGTCCTGGCCCACCACTCCCCAATTTTTCTAAAAAAAGGCAGGATTCATCCCATCAGGCCCAGGCGCTTTGTCCGGGTGCATTGAAAAAATAGCCTGCTTAACTTCCTCCTCACCAAACTGAGCCAGCAACCCTTCATTTTGTTCTCTCGAAACCCGCGGGACAATGGAGTCAAAAAACAAGGAGTCAGCAACCCCCTTAGACGTAAAGATGTCCTTAAAATACTTTGTAATCAAAGCTTTTAAAGAATTCCCAGCATGCCAGACTCCATCCGAACCCTTAAGCCCATGAATAAAATTCTTTCGCTGTCGGTGAGACGCACATTGGTGAAAAAACCGGCTATTAGCATCACCAGAATTAAGCCAGTGTTGCTTCGCCCTTTGTCGCCAATATAGGTCCTCTTGGTCCCTTAAACAGGCAAGCTCCTTTTCAGCACGATTAAGAGCTAAAAGACTCTGGTCATCACGCTTCCCCCTTATACCAGCAATCAGTTTTTCCAGTTCTTTACGCCTTTTACCAAAATGTTGGAATTTATCCCCTTCCCAGCGCATCAGTCTCTTCCCCAAGCAGCCAGTCTATCTGAGAAAGGCTCCCCATTCGAATCACGCCAAGCCTCTGTCAAGACATCCTTAAAACCAATATCACGCATCCAAGCATTTTCAAACCGAAATCTCCTAACCCTGTGCACCCGAATCGCACGGTTAAGACATAAATGTAACGCTGCATGATCAGAAGTTCTCATGAAGTTGTTGAACACCCAGGCTTGTGTAAACAAATCCCTCCACGCCCCAGAGACCACGACACGATCAAGTCGTTCCTCAACCCAGTTATGCGAACCACGACCTCGTTCCCAAGTGAAGGGATAACCAATCATCCCTAAATCGAAAAGACCGCAATCCTCAAGAGCTTGATTGAACCCTGATATAAGCGAAATCGGATGAGGGCAGCCCCCCTTCTTCTCTCTAACCGAACACAGATCATTAAAGTCACCCATAACAGCTCAAGGTAAAGAGGAATGATGTTTAAGAGACCGAAGAAGATCCCAAGAGCTGCCACGCTGATCCCTTTTAGGGTTACCATAAAATCCAGTGAATCTCCAAGGTACAGCATTCTGAAGAGAAACAACAATATCAATATGATATCTAGAGTAGCTAATGAGATTAGCCGTACGATTCTCCTTCCATAGAAGCGCCAGCCCACCACTCAAACCGACACTGTCCACAACAAAGAGCCCCTCAAAACCAATCTTGACCTTCAACTCTTCTGCACTTCCTCTCGCACCTTTAGTTCCCAAAAGAAAAATAAAGTCGGGCTTCTTTGCAGACACAAGGTCTGCCAACTCCTGAACTGTCCGCCGGTTGCCCAACCCACGGCAGTTCCAACTTAGGATACTCATTGTCCCCGGCGGGCCTGGAAACCAGAACCCGCCGCTTGCAAGTTTTTTGAACCATCCATCATAGAGATATCCAAGTCTCTTTCCAACATAGCACCACCCTCCGTACCCCTCTTCCTCTTTGCCACAACTTCAAGCTCTACCTCCTCCTCCGGTGTAACTTTTTGCACAAGTGAAGAGGTTCCAACCTGCTCCCCACACCCCTCCCAAGGGTCCTGAAACCGAAGCCACGGCAAACCAAGACTAGACTCCTTTTTCCTTCCACCAGCCCTTAGGGAGGCGTCAAATGGGTAATCCTCTGGTTCCAAAGAAGATAGAACTGCCCCTCTACAGTGCTTTGCAAGATGTCCCATGACGCCGCAAAAGAAACAAATGGTATTGAGACGTTCGTACTGGAATTGAACCCAAACAACCGACCCATCTCTTTTCTTGAGCTTCATCTTACGCCGAAGTGGCTTTCGCACATCCACCCCCACCCGAACCCTAAAATAGGGCCTCTGGGTCTGAGGAATAGGACTGAAATCATTCTTCACAAACCCACCCACAAAATTACCAATAGCTTCTAAAATAGCCGGGGATGAATAACCAAAGGGAAAACTATGTACTTGAACCCACATCTCTGCACAATTCAGATCAGTAGCCAAAGCCTTCTCCCCTTCGCCAAGGAGTTTACAGACCAACGTAGCATTATCAAAAGACCACGGACCCTCTTCGATGATTCGGGTCGCGTCCTTAACATGATAGAAGTGAAACAGGAACACCTCTCCCTCCTGGACAATTCGAACTCCCATAGCCGGCTTCCAAGACGCTGCCATAACCCGTTGCATAATATCAAATTTAATTACCTTATTGGAGAGAAATCGACCCGCGATTGTCCAAGTTCGGAACTCTACCGTCGGCACAGGAGCCCCGCCCTCCGGTAAAAAGGAGAGCCCCTCAGCCTCGTCATCCAGATCTAGCCCAGACACCCTTTGATTCAAACCATCAACATCGCCGCCTTCCATGAGAGCACAATCCGAGAGAAGAATCGGCGAGTAGAACCCTTGAACAGCTAGGGAGACGAAAGAAAGAACCCTAGAATACTAGGGAGACAGACAAAAGCAGCTTAAGAAGTCTTTTAACTAGCTAGTTGATGCTTCCCGGCCCGCTGATTATTGTAAGAATTAATTGATTGTGTTTAATATAATGAAAATTGTTTTTCAAAAAGTAAAAAAAAATACGGAGTATTTGTTTTTGAAATTAAAAATTTACTGTATACATTTTGATTGGGTAGAATTTACTATTCCAATTTGGAATCCGATTTAGATCTCGAATTTGGAAGTGATTGGATTTCAGCGGTTGACAAATTCTCCCGACAACATAGGAGTAATAGAGGAGGAGGCGAAGCCGAGTCAGAGTGGATCCATAGATCCGCCTCAAATCGCCATCGTCGGACCACGGCGGCGGACGGGAGAGAATCCAACGCTCATCTTCGGAGGTAATTTCTCAATTGCAAATCTCTTTGTTGCTTATCTCTCTCATCAATAACTGGGTTTGAAGTAGTTCTATTGCGAATAGCGTTCTATGTGCGCATTTGAACTCCAAAGTTTCTAGCTTTAGGCCCCGTTCCGTTCAACTTATTTTTACTTATTCTTATTAAAATCAGATCAGATCAGATCAGATCAGATCGAATCAGATCAGATCAGATCAGATCATATCAGATCAGATCAGATCAGATCCAATCAGATCAGATCAGATCCAATCAGATCAGATCCAATCAGATCAGATCAGATCAAGACTTATTAAAATAAGATCTCATCAAGAATTATTATTATTATTATTATTATTATTATATTATTATTATTATTATTATTATTATTATTATTATTATTATTATTATTATTATTATTATTATGATCATCATCATCATCGTCGTCGTCGTCATCATCATCATCATCATTATTATTATTATTATTATTGTTCTTAAAAATGAAAAAGAATAAACTTTAGAAATAGGTTAAATAAAAAGCTGAGAAAGTAATCCTTAATTATTAGACGTCAGAAAAATTAGTTTTAAAATACATTGACAATGTCAATCTAATTCTACTTTTAAAATATATTTTTATTGCTACTTGTAATTTGAGTTTCTAAACTTTTGATCTTTTATAAGGATGAGATATTTTAATAAAAATACTATCTCTTCTATATATTGATTATCTAAATTTAATTACTTTTAAATGTATATCTAAATTAAATATTTATTCCAATGTATAATTCTAATTTTACAAAAAAATTATCATAAAAAAAAAAT